GCCATGGGGTGATACGTGGGCACCCAAGGCGTCTGGACATGCCCGATGCTTATTCCTGTTGGCACCCATGAGAAGGTGCCTACACAGCCAGACCCAAAGCGAAGGGGGTAGATTGGCAAAGGGAGTGTGAAGCAAGGGTGGGGGCAGGGCTGTATTAGCAATGAGCTGAAATCAGCCCAGGTTCGCTTGGCAAACAAGCCTGCTTCCACCAAAACTATCCCGATGGGCACGAACTCTCAGATGGCTGAGAACCAGCACAGTCAGAGCCATCCTTTAAAGTTCTTAAATATCACACATGTGAGGTGTTGGTTGCAACACAAAATACGTTTTGAAGGAACAATAAGGTTTCACCTGTGGGGTTATGTTGAGACTTCCTGATCCTCCTGGGGAACCGCAATGGCGTTTGTTGGAGGAGGATTGGACACGCCACTCATGGCTGACAACAGTCATGGAATCTTCGGCAAACGTTATAAACCACCGGAGAATATCTAAAGCAGTTTCAGTGTTTCTCCTTCAGGGCTAGGAAATAGCAGTATGTTCTTGGGTCCTTAGGATCTGTTATGGTCACTTAGAGTCCTGCCAGCAGCTGGGAACATGGCGGAAGAGCAGCGTTGCTTCTTCTGCTGGGAACTAGGGAGTCTACCACCGATGACACAGCCAGACCTGTTGTCGTGAGCAAGGGAGCATCCCCGAAAGGAATCACCCACACATGTTGGTGTCTTTCTAGGATGCCAGGCTTGTTAGGGGAGACCTCCCAATAAGCTAACAGAGTCACACGCAAGTTACACACAGAGACGGGAGCCGACGCCATAGAAGTGGGCAGAGCGAGCATCTGGCCTGAAGGCCGGGTCGCTGGCAGCGTCCGCAGGTGGAGAGGCCGGCATCGGTCTTGAGCCAGACGGCTGCAGCCATGGCACGTGTCTGGCGGAATGGGAGGCTGGCAGGGCTCCAAGCACGACCCACTGTACCGCCAAGCTCAAGTGCTGAGTGGTCAGAGATCTGAGTTCTTACAGCCCACCGGTGGGCCGGGGGGAGGTCCCACTCATATTGGTGTCCAGATGGAGTCCTTATCTGAGTGTCCAGACTTGTGATCTGGGGCATTCCGGGCCCTTATTAAGGGGGTCCCATTACACCCCATTACCTCAGTCCTGACATAGCACTTGACCTAACTGTCATGGCTAACAGTGACTCCATATTGGATTGTCAAAGGTCTCCAGAAAGTCTTCTCTGCCTGTGCTCTATACATTAGTGCTCTTGGATCTGAACATGGTGTTGCTGGTCCCATGTGGACGGTGGAGAGAAAGAAGGGAAGAAAATGGCTCATGTGCCTGTAATTCCCAGTCCGAGAACTTGCAAATCTGTTTGATTTCAGTTGGGAGCGAGAATAAAGCATTTGAGGTTATTTTGGTTATTCCCTGCAAAAATCACACACTATACCTCACAGATTCAACCATTTCATAGAGCCGTAGTCAAGCATGTGAGTTACAATTTTCTTCTTTCCATTTATTCAGTGAGTCAGGCTCTGACAGGGGGTTGATTTGTTGTTTCATATTTGGGGGGATTGTTTTCGTATATCCTTAACATGTTTACTTAAATACTCTGTTACACGAGATGTCTCCATTTGTTTTGATAGGTACTTATGAAGGCAGCGCGGAGCATTTCACACTCACACAGCACGTCCCGCATCCCCAGCGCAGCCCCAGGATTCGCGCAGCGGCTGCCCTGCGTGCTTGGCAGTGCCAGCCACATTCCACCCGGAGAGGAGCCCAGAGCCAAGCGGCAGGGGGGTCTTTCCCAATCGCTGGCTCGAGACACCCCACTAGGACCAAAGACGGTGGGTGGCAGCAAGGAGCCCACAGGAGGAAATTGATTCTTCCTGCTTGTTTTATGGTTCTCAGGGTGTTACCACAACAGCATGGATTCCTTCCCAAACAGCCGAACATATGGGAAACCTATACTTAGCATATCATTTTGAGCCTTCCCTCCCCCACATCCATCTCCTCCCTATACCAGGAGTCCTCACTGTGGTACCAATTCTATAGGTTAAAAAAAAAAAAAATTGGTTGAATGGGGCGAAGTGTCCTTACTCCTTGACCCGTGGCCCAGGACTGATGTGTCCTGAACCTTGGTTGGAGTCGCAGGTGACCACTAACCCGCAACGTGGATATGGCTCCTGGAATGGCTGCTGCATCAGTCATGGGAGGGGAAACCAGTGACCGCATCCGAGTCCGGTGGCCACCACCACGGAGATGGCTGTGGCCAGGGACAGCCCCCAAATGTGCAAAACAAAGGGAGGGTCAGCTGTAAAATTAATCATAAATGTCAAAACAGTCCAACGGAGAGCGCTCTCCTCTGCCTAAAAACAGGCAGCATTTAAGAGTGGGCTGTGTATTTTAAAGAATCACTGGTCTGCTCTTGTAAGTATTATGTCCACGAAGCTTCAGGTCTGATTTTTGAGCGCATAGAAACTCTGCGGTTACGTCCACGCCTGTTCATTCCCAGTAAGTACCTGAGGCTTCCTGCTATTGTTCTGGGGTGGACAGCAGGCAGCATCACTCAGAAACGTGGGACGGAGCCATCGGCCATCCTTTCAGGGTCTGAGTCATTTCTAAGATGGCACCAGTCCAAGTCTAATTCACGAGAGCTGAAGAAATCTATGAGGACCTGCATGTAATTGATTAGTAAGTTGGGGTTTCTGTAACTGGCTGTTCATTCCTCCGTTCACAACAACACACTGAAACAAAGAACCAACCACTGTTTTTGCAAGCCATTGACATTCTGCCAAGTTATTGAAGACTTTCATTTTGGGAACTGAGTTATTGTGTTTGGGGCGTCAACCCCCGAGCCCCCAAGACTTACCCCTCCATTAACGTGCCATATCTCTTTGTTCTTGGTTCACTGGATTGGAAACTGTGATGTCATTGATCAGTGTTGTTTATTTTTTATGTAGAAAACAATTAAGTGAAAAAGGACTGGTTTTGAGGGCAAGTTATCTAGTTTGAGTTTCTATAAATGGTAACTATACCTCACCCCACCACACTTTAACCCCAAATTGCAGAGGATGGAATGTCTTCCCCCAGCCACGCGTCTGTCCTCCACTTACATAATTGCAAGTTTGGTTCTGTATCCCTTTTTTGGTAATTTTTAACATTTATCCTCCCGTAAATGGAGTTTGGGTCACTCTAGCTGGATATTGTTGGTGTTTGGGCAGAGAAAGGGGAGGCGAGGCAAGTGCGCGTTTGGGAGGACAACCCAGAAGGGAAGGAAGGAAGGAAACAGCGCAACCAGAGAACAGGGCTCCCACCGGTCGGGGAGCCAGGCCGCGCTGGGCAGGGACCCTCCCCGGGCAGCGCTCCCCCCACGGAACCCTGGGTGTGGGGGCGTGGCCTTGAGGGGAATGATGTACATTCCCACCTTCGCAAACGACGATCCCCCGTGGAGAAAATCCGAGAGAACTGAAAATTATCACAGCTTTATTTTTAATGGATTATTTATTGGTTTGTTTATTAGAAGTTTAGCCAGGTAAAAAATACAAGGTTTACATACAGAAATCAACAGCTTTTTTACACATCATGCAAGAATCAACCTAAAAGTGTAACATAAAAAATAACATACAAAACAGCCACAAAAGTTCAAAATATGCAGGAATAAACATAGAAAAGCAACATGTCAGACCGTCGTGAAGAAAATTATAAAATTTACTGAAGAACGTAAGGTAAGCTTTATACTAATGGAGAGCTACACCATGGCATGAACGCCAGTTCTCCCACAAATCAACCTCTAAGTTCTGAAAAATTCCTATGAAATGGACAATGGATTTACTTGACAAACTTACTTTAAAATCCATCTATCAGAAAAATATCCAAATATGAACAAAAAACTTTGTGTAGAGAAAAACGGTGAGAGTTTACAGAAGGGAAATAAATGGTCGCCAAGCAGGAAAAGATGCTCCGATGTCCAATTTCACTAAAACAGAGAAACATAAAATACAAAAAACAACCAGATACCTTTTTAAAATTTTTTTTGTCCTTAAGGATCTATCCTTAAATATCTAAAAGGTAATTCGGGGCAGGAGAGACAGGAATGCATAGACCCTGTCGGGGAGCTCCATTCGTCTGGTCTTTTCCTAGGGAAACTTGGGAGCGTTTGTTAAGACTTTAACGGTGCATAAGGCCCAAGCCGGTACCCACAGGGCAGCGTCTCAGAGCTTCCGCCAGGGCCTGCTGCAGACATGCGCTCAGAGAGTTTGGTCAAGCACATTCACGCAGCATCGGGCCTGATGGCCAAAAATTAGAAACAGTTCAAACTCCGCGTAACAGGAAGATAATTTTTAAAATAATGGCACATCATATTAGGAAATCCAGTGCAGCTGTTTAAAAAGCAAATCAGCCTGTTCCCAGCGACACCGTGAGAACTCCAAGATGCGCTGTTAAACATCGAAAGAACGTTACAGAACACTGCGTGCCATGTGACAGTTTGTGTTTAAATTTGTATGTAGTCACGCACATCTAGGTGATTGTAAATACACAGAATAAAAATGAGCAGCTAACTAACTGCTTATGGGGACAGGGCAGCGACTGGGGATGTGGCCAAATGGAGGGGAGCACCTGCTTCTTCAGTATCGTCTGAAATTTCAAAGTGAAAATATAACCGTGTATTGAGTAGGTCATTTTTTAAAACTCCCCCAAAAGTTAATGTGGCAATTTTAAAATTCATTAAATTCACTTGCAACACAATCACATACTTTTATTTTATAAGAACTTGAATGTTTTTCAACCTAATTAAAAATAATAAAAAAATCTCTTAAAGGCGGGTGTGGTAACGCAGACTGTTGCCCTTCTGGTTTCTCCACGTTACCACCATGAGAACACTTCGCCTCGGCATCAGGGCGTCCGCAATCTCTAATGCTAAACAGACCTTACGGTAAACGGTGGTGCTGGATCAGAATGTCCCCATCAAACCCCAGTATTACAAAACTCATCAAGAGTCTTCTGGAAGGATTAGGGCTCCAGTGAAGAACTAGCCTTTTTGTCAATAGCGAACCTTACTTTTGGATTCTTTTTCAAAAACTCTGCATAGCTTTGCTCAGGAATAAACCTGAAAGTGCTCCATATCTCATTATAGTGTCTTGGGAAGCGTCTGAAAATCGGGACCACCACAGCTTCGTGGCAGACATATGATATTTGGTAATTTGAAAAGCCATCAAGACAAGATGGAACATAGTCACATGCCCAAAGATTGAAATTTCTTGAAACGTGTTGCCTTTTTTCTGGAGAGATCTTCCTACGTCCCAGGCCCTGGGGAAGAATCAAGAAGATTAGGGGAAAAGTAGTCAAGGTCACATAGTTCTGAGGTCTTCAGTGAAACTAGCTACAGGACGTCCTATATTTATACTTAATTTTTTTTTAATTTATTGATTTCAGAGAGAGATAGAGAGAGAGGAAGGGAGAAAGAAACATCAATTTGTTGTTCCACTTGTAATTTATGTCTTCATTGGTTGATTCTTATATGTACCCTGACTGGGGGGTCAAATTCGCAGCCTTGGCACATGGGGACAACACTCCAACCAGCTGAGCTCCCCAACCAGGGCCGACGTCCTATGTTTAAATGCGCAATATAACAACCGTTAAAACCGTTACAAGAGGTATCCTTTATCAACCTGTTGAAGGCTATACATCAGCACTCAAAACATGCCAATGTTTTGCTATGGTTCTCAAAGCCTTTCGCTCCCACCAGGGAACTGGACTTCCAGAGACACGGAAGGTAGAACCAGAGAGTCCACAGACGGAAATAGCCCAGGAACCAACCTGGACCCGCAGGGACGCCAGGCAGGTTCTGCGCACCCAGTGGCTGCCCGGGGTGCCCCGCCAGCGTTCGGCGGGGCAGCGGTGCTCTCTCTCTGAGAAGTCTGAGGAAGCGGGGCTCTTTCTCATGCCAGAAGGCTCCGAGAGGAAAGCAGCGCCAGCGGGCCGCTGCCCACGGGCTTCCCCGTTAAGTCTCGGCACCTGGCACGTGATCCTAGGAACTTCCCTGTATTCAAGATGGAGCCTTTGAGTTGATCAGAACCAGATGAGAAAGAATAAGAAAACACTGTGCTTAGACAAGAGACTAGAAGGAAATAGACATTAGATTACAGGGGTGAAGTCAGGTCGCCTTTTCCTGGGGTCAGAGTCATTCAGAGTGGCAGATGGCACACCCAAAAAGTGTCATTTAAAGAGAGTTCCATAAAGGGACTGTTTACCCGTGTGTGGGGGAATTCCCGGAAACAGCTCGGGGCAGCTCTGGGCCCACGGGGCTCGGGGGTAGAACGCAGGCCTCACAGACCATCAGGGCGGCCGCGGAGGGAGGGTAGGGGGCTCTGGAGGGACAATGGGGAGGTGCCGGTCCCACCGCCCAGGCGCCTTCCCCCCAGAAATTACTTGCAGATGCTCTAGAAAAATAGAAAATAAAAGGAAGGTATAATATGAATAGGGCAAAGAGCCACAAGGAAAGTAACAGGTGAAGCTCCTAAGTCTAAATATTGTACTTGCTGAGAGTGTGACTATGAAATACACTGAAAATTTAAGAATCCACAGAAAGAAAGGAAGGAAGGATAGGTGGGTTAAGGGGGAAGAAAATGGGGGGAGGGAGGGAGAGAGAGAGAGAGAGAGAGAGAGAGGCCAGTCTGGAGCCGGTGGGCAGTCAGGGCCACTTATCATTGTCCCAGAAGAGTGTCCCCATGAGCTGGGAGGACACAGCCTGAGCCAACGCACAAACCCTTAGACAGGGAAGTGAGGTGAGTGATACTCTGAAGGACTTGCCTTACTCTTGGGGGAAAGCTCTAGGTATTAATTTTTACGTCCATAGAGTAAGACAGTATTAACATATTTCCCAAACATTTACACTTAAGGGTAACCGCTAGTAGAGTATCAATAGAAGTCCGAGCGAGCAAATAAATTCAATCTAGCAAAGTTGGCAGAAACGGGGTAAGGGACAACATGCAAACACGATAAATAGGCCACGTAAAATGAGAGGGAAAATATAAAAGCCAAAATAAATTATCATAATAATGTGAATGGGTTAAATGTTCATTTAAAGAAATAATGACTCCTAGATTTTTAAAAACCATGATGTATTCTATTTATAACTAAAAACAAAACAAAACAAATGACCACAAAGTATAAAGACAAGGAAATGGACCATGATATAAGGAACAAATTTTAGCAAAAATAGAGTGAGAGTGGCAATGCTAATATCAAGATGCAGATTCACGGCTATAGGCGCGTTCAAGCGTATAAGGAGGGACGCTTTACACTGACAGACAAAAGCCAATGAGAAAAAGATAATAAGGAACTTTTATGCAGAAAGATATGGTATTAAACCATATAAGGCAAAAAAAAAAATTAGGAACTCAATAATCATGGAAGGAGAAACTGACAGATCAAGGCAAATATTAAGAAAAGCATATGAAAGATTTAAATAACATAACTGCTCATCCTGAACTAATATAAAGAACCTTGTAACCAACAGATGGGGAAGATATATTCTTTCTTAACACCAATGAAACACATGATAAAATGAATCATATGCAAGATAACAAAGATAATCTTTTTTTAAAAATATTTTATTTATTCATTTTTTTAGAGAGAGGGGGAGAGAGAGAGAGGGAAACATCAAATGGTTGCCTCTTGCACGCCCCCTGCTGGGGGCCTAGCCTGCAACCCAAGCAGGTGCCCTGACCCAGAATCAAACCAGCAATGTTTCAGTTCATAGGTCAACACTCAGTTCACTGAGCCACACCAGACAGGGCAACAAAGATAATCTTTATAATTAAAAAATTAGGAATCACAGGTTATATTTTGTAAAACTTACCATAACCCATAGAACTAGGTATTTGCAACAAAAGGATGATCTTTAAAATTTCTAACCATATAGGAAATTTAAAACATTTACTTAAAAAGGAAATAAAAAGTTAAATAATAGACTATGCTGAAGCAAATAATAGTGAGACCCTAATTAGAAAAACCTTTGGGATGCCGAAGCAATAATCTGAGGCATATTCATAGTTCTAAAAAAAATGCATTAGCAAAAACAGTTGCAAATACATGAACTAAACATTCAATTGAATTTTTTTTAAACAGGAAAGTAAGAGTATTTTTTAAAAAATTACACCAAAAAGTTTGAAATAAAATAGGTAACTTTAGGTAAACACATAGCAAAATCTACTCAAGAAGAGATGGAAAGCTTGAACAGATAAATAATCAAGGAAGAAACTGAAAAGGTAGTAAAAAAAAAAGAAAGAAAAACTTACCCTAAAAAAGATATCAAATTCAAAGAGTTTTATGGGAAACTCTGTCTAACCTTCATTAAACTGAAAACCCACACATGACATAGATTATTCCAGAAGGTAGAGAAATCTGGAAAGCCCTTGGCGCTTTCTGCGAGGCCAGCGCACCTCTCTTAAAATACCGGCGGTTCCATCCTCCTCACACCATTAAAAAGATGCCCACTTACGTGATTTGCAAAAATCCTCAAACTTTACTCCTAAACTCATTACTAGTGATTCCTCACCGTGAGATCATGAGGAGGGAAAACAAGAGTGCAAGTTTCCTTTTTCATTTGATATAATTCTGTATTGCTGAACACTTTTGAGGGGCACGTTACATCGGTAGCTTAAAAACCCGTTTGAGACGCTCCACGAGAGGTGGGCTGAGGGGTCTCCTGGCTCCGTGCTCCGCCCTCTGCAGGGGCAGGCCAGGTGATTGGGGTTAAACCGCTTCAACGGAATTTAGATATTGTATCCGAGGGGCCGTGGCAGCTTTCGTAAAAGCAGTTTAACTTCACTGGTTCTCAGTTGCGTTATCCGAGTCGGGGATGGTAAGAGTAATCAACCAACAGGGCTGTTGTGAGGAATGAATGAGACAATGTGCGGTGATGGCCTGTGGCATACGCTTAATCAACAGAGGGCTTTATTAACATTATCATCACCGCGGACTTGCAGGCTCCGCAAGGGTTCTCAGGGGTCCCCTGGCACGGCCCTCTGCCTAAGGTATGTGGGCCCTGCCCTGTCCTGTTTGAGAGCCCTGGCCATGTGTGCTATTAAGCACCTGAAAGGTGGATGTTCCGAACTCAGAGGTACCGTGAGTGTAAAATACAAACCGGATTTAAAGACTTAGCTTGGGGAACGTAAAATATCTCATTAATAATTTTGCATTGATTATGTGTTGAAATGGTGATTTGGAGAATTACTGGATTAAGTAAAATCTATAAAAATTAATTTCATCTGTGTCTTTTTTACTTAACATGGTTACCGAAAAAATTTAAGTTACATATATGGCTTACAATAGGACATATTTTGCTGTGTATAATGCGCACTTTTTTGCCCACATTTAATGATGACATCATAATCCCTTGTATAATGAGCACAAAAACATGGGTGCGCATTATACATGGCAAAATGCGTATTTCCCTTGCACGGTGCTATGTGAAACTACCACTGACAAGTGCGATCAGACTTTATTTTTCCCAGCAACAGAAACTCACCACCTCCAGAGAAAAGACAACTCCAGTGATTAGGAAGTCCTCTATATTGTGTACGTCAGCTCCCTATCCCTTGGACCCCTCCCTGTGGGCCCTGGCTCTCCTACGCAGAGCCACACAGGGGCCATCCCTCCTTCCCGTGACATCTTCCCTAGAAAGCTCACCAGTGAGACAGTTTATAGAGGAAGAGCACAGAACCCAGCCAGAAGCTGGAGCAGACTTTGAAAGTGTGTGGAACTTGGAAAGGTTCGTGCTTTTGTGTGTGTGTGTGTGTGTGCGCACGCGCGCGCGTGTGTGTGTGTGACCTAGGATCCAGCTTTAATGGGGACCTTGTTCCAATTCTGAGGTCCGTCCTTTGTCCTCAACACATCTCAGGAAATCAAGAGCCCCCATTTGATTAGTAACTCGGAGAGAAACACTCACGGAGTCGAGGTAGAATCCGGAATCCTGAAAGCTGTTCCGATTGTCGTGGACAGAGAAGGGGAAGTTGTTGCGGACTGCTTGCTGGGAAGGAGCACAGGGAGAGATGGGAAGCCCCCCTCAGAACCCCAGGCCGCTTTCAGAACTGGCCCACGGTGGCGTGGCGGGAAGACAGTCGAGGCACAGTGGTCGCTAAGTGAGAACTAAACCCACCGCCGGGGATGGAGTGAACAGCAAGGGAGGGTGAGGGCGTAGGTGCGCGTGTCAGCTCAGGGCTTGGAGACTCCGCCTTTATGGCCAAGCACCCTAACAATGTTCTTTCAGACACCTTCTCTGGAGGCAAAGAAGGAAAGGTGGACAGGCTCCCAGGACTGAGAGCTGGAGAGGAATTGGAGGCCCTCTGAGCCTAGAGGCTGGTGAGCTAGCGAGGTCAATGCCTGCCTCTCCTTTGGGCCACACCAGGCCCCGAGGCCGCTCAGGAATTGGCCGGGGGGCAGAGCAGGCACCCCTGGACTGTGAGCCCAAGTGGACTGCCTGGACCGGGGAGGTAGCTCCTCGGAGACAGTGTCTGAGGGGTCGCAGTGGCCAGGGACCGGGGGGAGCACTACCAGCACTAAGGAGTCCAGGGATGGTAGGCGAGCAGTTCTCTCCAAGGAGGAATCACCTGGCCCCCGGCAGCTCTGGGGCCGCCCCCTGGAGGGCCAGACCGTGGGAGCATGGGAGTGTGGGAGCGTGGGGCCAGCGCTCCACACTCACCTTCTCGCGGACTTTGTAGATGGGCGGTAGCTTCCCTTCCGTTTGCCGAGAGGCACGTGGGCTGCGGGGCTCTTTCAACATGGCCCTGGTGATGGACTCCGGCGTCTTCTGCGGCGGGCTGATGTGCGGGAACTGGAAAACAGCACGCGCGCTGATTAAAACCAGACGCTTCTGAATCTCCACGCCAGGGATCAGGGCTTCCTCCGTAAAGTGATTAAAGTGCAATTTGGGTGCTTCTGGCATGCAGTGGAAGGGGCATAATTTTTAAGGATTCTTTCCAAGACAAAAAATATTGTCATGGCCCCAGGCCATCACCGCTGGTTGTTTCAAGTTACCGGGGCCACCCCTGCCGCGCTGGAGCCTGGAGAGGGTTCTGCGGGCTGGTGGGGAGGCTGTGGCCCAGCCCGCAGAGATGTGTTACTTGAGATCTTCTTTCTGGTCAGGGTGTGCCCTGTGCTTGGGAACAAAGATCCAGCCCACGTTCACGGGTGGGCCAACCTCCCGCAGGTCTGAGGAGCCCCCGAGACACGGGGAAGGGTCCCAGGCGGCCCTCCACTGAGAATGAAGGGTGGTAAATAGTGGGAAGATGATTTGCGGGGGAAGGGGGCTTTGTTTCTCCTTTGAGAGGGAGGGAAGCAAACAGGACTGGGCAGAGGGAGGTAGTCCCAGCAGAGGCCTCCGCAGGGCTCTGGACACGGATGGCCCCTCAGACTTGTCCTGAGCTGGGGAGAGGGGTCTGGGCCTTTGTGCGCCCTCACCCGTCAGTCCCTGGATGCGGGCTGCCCCGGGGCGAGGGGGTGACCTTGGGAGGCAGCTCTGCTCAGGGTGGACCAAACACCGAGGGCCACACTCAGCAGCTGGGAGGAGCCCTTCATTCTGGGAGCTGGGGGGCGGGGGCAGCAGACACTTGATGGCCACAGCTCGCCCCAATTTTATTTAAATAGCACCTCTTAAAAGCCGCCCCAACAAAGTGGGCTTTGAAATCGGGTCTCCAGGAGAGGACTAGGAGGGGAAACTGAAATACAAACAAATTCTCAGTAACATTTCCCGCAAGGGAGGAGGCACGGCACGGTGGCTGCTCGCGGGCTGTACTCCAAGTCCCGCATCCAGGCTCGGCTCTCTCTCCTGCGAGGACAGCCTCCTGTAAGGGACAGCTTTTCCAAGCCCTGCTGATCCTGCGGGATGGGAATAATGCCTGCCTAACAGGGTGGGTGTGCTTAGGGGAGAAAATGCATGCTCCCAGGCAGAGCGCAGAGCCTGCCTTCGCTCTCTGCCATCCCTCCCTGGTCCCCAAGCCACTGCACGGCCTGGGGCAGGCTCTCCCTCCTCCGCTTTTGGATTACGATGACATCAGACAACTGCCATTCTCGCATTCCCTCTCAAGTCACAACAGAACCGTCTATTCAGGTGGCTCATGCTTCATGGCAGCACAGAGTGTTTGGTATGTCACTACCGTATGTCACCGTGTATAGCATGGCCTTCTTGCCCAGATTGTTGAGGGAAAATAAAGATGCACATTATACATGGGTACAATGATTACATACCATGAGGGAGTAATAATCCCGTGTATAATGCGCACAAAAACCGTGGGTGTGCACTATACACGGCAGAATACGGTATTTGTTTAGGTAAAAAGGCGGGAGGTTGCATCATCAATATTGCCTGCTTGGTGGGGTGTCCCCAGCGGCAGAGGGAAGTACCGCGCCATATGGCACATAGCGAGGGGGAGGTCTTTTAAACACAGGCCTCAGGGGAAAACAGCAGAAACAGAACGAGACCCACGCACAAACACCGTTTCTGTAAATAAATAGCTCACGCGCACACAACAGTCCGTTGCTTACAAGAACGTACCCGAGTAGAAGAATTCCCGCTAAACACATTTGAAAGGCTGCTTGGGGGGCGAGGAGAGTAGGAGGGGACCACGGGCAGTGAACAGCTACGGAAACCAGCACCCATCTGTTGCCCAGCTTGGGCGGTGGGGGGCGGCGGCGGGCGGGGGGGCAGGTGAGTGGCTGCAGGCAGGACCCCCTCAGAGCGAGGGGTCAGGAGAGGAGGGAGACTCTCTTTGCCACCGTTTAAATGTTTCTGCACTAAGTGCATCTATTGCATCGTCCTGCTTCCCACAACAAGTATATTTGTTTCTGATTAGAGTTGTAATACATACTCAGGGTTTAAAAAAACAAAACAAAACTCAAGCAATAAGGAAACATACAAGGAAGTAGAATTCCCGAAATCATATCGCCTTTACCCCTGGACTCTTTGGTGACCATCTTTTCCACAAACCCTCTGTGAACGGACGCCTATGTACATGTCTAAGTTTGCATACGTAGGTTTGCATACATCTAAAAACTATAAATACTTTTGTCTGTCACGGTCACTTCTGGTTACTTTCTCCTCCCCCTTCCTGCCACCCCGGGTGACAGTATGGACAACTGAGAGCTCCCTTGGCCGGACACAAACCTCCATGCTGCAGAGGCCGCAGGGAGAGCTTTACAAGAGGGACCATAGGGTACACACTATCTAGCATTACTTTTCTCACTTAACGATATACCCTAGGAATTTTTCAAAGTCAGTCTTCCTATTTCTAATTCATCCTGTATTATATGTTCTAATATTTTAAACAGTAAAATATAAGCATTTTTAAGTAACTATAAATCATACAAAGGGCCTCCAAGCTCCGAACCCTTCCCCAGCTCCTGGTCTGCCTGCGTTGCTCCTCCCCTTGAAAGACGTGGCGAGGGCGGGCTGGGCGGGGCTCCTGCATCAGGGTGGCCCCTCCCACCGCCTCGGTGGCAGCCGGCTCGAGTCCATTTGTATTCTGCAAGTCTGTGGACTAAATCGCTGTCAAAAAGGGCTCCAGCATTTTAATTTCATTCTTTCAAAATATATACTTAATAGCTATACCATAACAGCTGTGAAATAAACCCTTCTGTTAGATGTTGTAACCGTGAAATACAGCTTTCTAACCAGTTGGCAGTGACATTTTTGCTGCATTTGAGCGCTCGATGACTGAAATACTAAATAGGAAGGCGACAGTGTGTAGAAAAGCCTACCCGGAACAGCCAGATTACAACCAGCAAGGTCAACCACAAAATGACTGTCACTGCTAAGGTGGCAATGACCATCCTCCCAAACGGGCTGTGACTGACTCGAAGCGATCAGTTTCTTTAATTTCCCCAACTCATGCAGAGGAGGCTCGGGGAACCCTCAGGATCAGCGCTGCTCTCTCACTGCTCCTGGGCACTAGCAGCAGACAGGGCCCGTCCCCGAGCCGCGCCTCAGGCCTTGGGAGACGCTGGCTCTCCCGCGGACGCGGAGGCCCGGACACATCCCTGGGATTCGATAGGCGATGAGACGAGCATTCTCGTTCCCTCCCTTGTCCCAGAAGCCACACTTTGTTTGGATGGCAATGTGATTGGTAAAAAATACCTCCCCCCACTCCTTTGGAGCTACATTGGCCATGCGACCCCCAGGGACAAAAGCAGAAGTCCCCGGGAGAGGGGGAGCGGGGTTCAAGGGTGAAAAAACAACCACATAAACTTCATGCCTTCACACACCCAGTCTCTCCAGGGGATGGTCAGGAACGTGGCGAGAGACGGGGTCACCTCGGGGGAGGGGAGTCACTTAAAAGGGACAGACGAGGCTGTCCTTGGACCTTCCACACATTTCCCAGTCAGTCAAACAGCCCCAGGGCACAGGACACCAGGGCAGAGCCCTGCAAAGAACCCGGGCCTTGGGTGGCTCCCTCAATGTAGGTATCGGCCCCGAACTGCCCATGTCTGCATTTATTTCGCTTGAGAAATACACACCCCTGTTGGGTGGAGACACCGTGGCCAGCCTTCCGTAGTATTCCATCAAACGCAGCCCTAACTGATGCTGCAGGTTTTAGGAGGAGGCGAAGCGGCTTAGTGTGAGAAACCTGCGTTTTTCTCTTCCTCCCAGATGGGCGCATTGTAGTTCTTGCTGTTTCCTACTTTCCTTTGGCTGCCCGGGAACTCCGAGTGTAACCGGATGCCCAGATGCTACTTCGCAGGCCATGGGGCCTGTATGTAGATATTACATATTTTTGCAGTCTCGGCCTCTTATTCTAAAGTGCACTGGAACCGGTTCTGAATTTTTTATTTTACTTATACTTTACTGCTTTCTGGTGATGTTTTTCCATACTTTAAATCGTTCTGGGCTGAACCGGGGTGCAGATGAAAGGATACATATAGTCTGTATATACTGACAAGACTAGGGCTTCACACTTAGGTGGGAAGGAAACGTTTCCTGAGGACGATGGAATATTGACAATCCCATCGGGCTTTGTAAGTGACATCATAAGAGAGGGGTCTGAGGGAGAGCATGAAGCCGGAGGGTCAAGTTTTCAAATGATTGACGTGGAAAAGCCATGCATTTCAGGGCTCTTCCTGTTCACAGTTCACTGGGGGTCAGATTGGGGTCAACAGGAATTTGTTTACAGGTTTCTAGAAAACTATGAGTGCCTTTGACAAATATTTTCTGAGAACCGGCTGTGCCCCAGGTCCTGTTCTCGGCAGTTGGGGTATGAACAGTGAACAAAAAAGACAAGATCCCAGCTCCCATGGAGTTTGTGCCGTAGCAGAGGAGACACATGATACACAAGATATAATCCATCGTATAACAGGTCAGAAGGTAGATGCCCCGGGGGCCAACGTGGCCCACGCAGCAATTGTTGGCTAGGGGACACTCACCAGGTGCCAGCGTGCGGAGGTTTCGCACGTTATTTCACGTAATCCACCCAAGAATGTGGTGAGAACCCACTTCACAGTCAAGGGAGCTGGGGCTGGGCAACGTCATCTACAAGTCAGGCCACCGTGAGTGGCCGACGCAGGATTGGGACTCAGGTCTGCGCCCTGACACACCCACGCGGCCTGAGAAAGGTAAGGCAGGGGCATCGTTGTTCTCACCCATCTGCCGTCCTTGTCCAAAGGCGGGTTGAAGCGTCGCCCTTTGGCCATTCTCCGCAGGAGCTGAGGGTGGCCGGGGTCGGCTGCGTCACCTCTCCATTGCCTTGCAAGCTCCGCTTCTGGGAGCCACTCCTCGTCCCGCCCTCCAGCAGGACGGGCTGCAGGGAGTGCCCCCGTTGCCGTAGACGCAAGCCTGCCCATCACAATGGAGCAGGAGCGTGGGCCGCCCCAGCCCTCTCAGAGCTCCTGCCGCCCGGCGCCCCGTGGCAAGGCGGTGAGCCAGCAGGCCCGGCCGAGGAGTCCCACACACAGGTCAGCAGGTAAGGGCCAGCCTTGCAATAAGGGCGAGCTTTTATCACCCTCTAAATCCTGGAATCAATGCTATTTGAGTTGAATGTTCCCATGGTAACCATCCGCCCCAACCTCTGAGTTTTCTGAGAAGTAAATTGAATCTGGGCTGGGGATGACCTTGTCTGCATGGGTGGCATTGCTCTGCCCAGGACCTCTGCCTCCCTCCACGCCCTTTCCGTGGCCACCTCTGCATCCCAGCTCAGACGCACTGAGACAGAGGGACAGAGGGACTCACTGACTCGCTGCTCATTCGCCTCGCTGCACACTGCGCAGGCCACCAGGAAGGACGTACATGGACAATTACAGAACACCAAGTGCTGTGGGAAACTACACACTGGCACATGTTTCTGTTTTATTTATTTCCCATGACAACCTTTGGCATTTATAAATGAGAAAACAAGGGGCAGTAACCAATGGACGCGGCACAAGGTCCCGGGGCGGCTTCAGGGCCACATGGCTGACCCTGGCTGCAAAGGCTGCTCCTGAGAGCTGGCCCTCTCTCCGGCCTGGACACACAGTCCCACCTCGCTTCTACTCAGCAGTGTGCCCTCTGTCTCGCTTCCTTTCTCCTTTTTTCAATTGTTGTATCTTGACGATCCTCTTGGCTGTCCCGTGTGAGGATAAAAGTAATGATCCACAGGCGATTCTGTCCAGCTCTCTCTCTTTTGCTGAGAAACTGTGTCCTAGTCCCCCTCCTTCCCCAATCACTGACTGCGGTGTTCTAACAAGGGTCTCTGGGTTGGTGACAGGGAACCTTCTCCGGACAGCCCTGATGGCCAGAGATGTGGGTCCCCGGATGTGGTGTCTGAGCTCGATCCGTCTTGCTACCATCAAGTCCAAAGCTGACAAACCCTCAGAGATAGGCTCCCTCCCACCTGCCACCATGCTGCCAGCCCCAGGAGGCAGCTGTCTTCCTTGTTGCCCCGGAGGTGGCATCTGTGTTCCAGGCAGCAGGGTAGAGGAAGGAAGAAGAGGAGGAAGGTAGTGTCCAGTGTATGACACGGGACCAAGCCCAGCCCCTTGGCAATGACAGGCTCTTGTCATTGGCTCAGCTGCTTCCTTGTAAGGAAGTTCCTGCAGGTGCGACACAGTGCTTCCTGTTGTGAGCAGTGACTTCAATGTTTACTGAGTACTGTTACAGTCATTGTTTTGTATAACTTTCACAATGGCCCCAAGAGATGTGCTGTTCACGTCCCTTTTGTGTGCCACCCTGTCCCCAACCCTGGTTCACTCTGCACCCTCCCCACCCTGCTCTGCACGCTGCAGGCTGGCCGACAAATACTGGTCACCTCCTCCCTTGCTCGTCAGCTTTGGCTGCGTCATCCAACAGAAATTACCAGTGGGGACTGAAAGGACAGGAAGAGGTAAAGTCAATGTGATATGCTGGTTAATGGTAACCAACACCTCTCTATGGAAAAATGCCAGTCGGACTGACTTATAGTGGTGTTTGCCGATACCCATGGTGTAAATACTTCTTGTATGGTGGATTTTAAGCTGCTAACATAGATTTGGGGAGAGATAGAGGCCATAGGGTTCCTACAGGGACACAGGCCAAAACCAAGGCAAGGTTAGTAATTATTTCTACTTACAGATGAGGAAACTGAGTCTCAGCGGAGTGACAGGACTCCCCCACAGTCACACAGCTAATATCTCTGGCAGAGCCCAAACTAGCAGCCAGAGGTACTGAGGCCAAGTTCAATGCCAGCCTCACACAGGGTTGGTTCGGCTGCATCTCCCTGACCCTGTTCAATTGCTGGGCAGTGGCTCTAGGGTTGCCCTTCGTTCCCTTTCTCCAATCTGCACAGAGCAGGGGCTGTGTGAACACTTACGTGTCGTAGCCACGCGTCCTTTCTGCGTGAGTTCTCGGGGCCAGGGGTCCGATGGTTGGCACCGTGGGCCGCTCCAGCCACTCCTGCCATGGAAGCGAAGCCGGGCAACGCCACCCAGAGCAGGGATGGACGGGTGCCGAGCGTGGCTTCTCCCTAAGCTGGAAGTACAGCGACAAGGCGGAAGGAAGCCCAAAACTTAGAATTTAAGAACCTAAAAGCAGTGTCATTCCCAACAGTGTTCCCTGCGCATTCCCTTCATCTCCATCGATGGGGCGGAAAGTCCATTCGGACTGAAATCTCACTTCTCAACATCTTTTGCGTCTCCTCTGTATTTAGCCTCATGCTCCGTTGAACAAGGTACATGATCACCGGGTAAGATGTGTTCTGATTTCCCCCTTTGAATGCTTGTTGAAAATTCTAACAAATTTATCCAAGACAATCAAAACTGAATCAAGTAAACTCAGCCAGGAAAAATAAAACTCGGTTTTTCTTCGGCTACGGTTTCTTAGTCCCAGCTTGGGCTAGGGCTGTTTGTTGCGGATGTTCTTATTTTCAGAGGTTTGGATTACGGGGCTGAACTCTGCGACCCATCATTCTGAAAACGAGCCCTGGATCCCTCAGAGGCCTCGGACCCCTGGGGCTGAGGTCAGCGGAGGGTCGAGCCCGGTCCCCACGTGGAATGCAGGGGCCCAGGGCAACCGCGAGGGCCGCTGTGACAGCAACACTGAGCACAGGGCAGCCTTATTCACTCACTGAACAGGTACGCGCTGCGCATTCACCCTATGCCGCACTGGTTTTACACGGCCCTAAGGCAGTCACCAGAACCAGTTATTTATAACTAGCAAAGCAAGAATTTACCGATACAGCCACTGACCAACACCCCAACTTGTTGATAATCAAAGCTTCCTTTCAGTGAACTACCCACAACATTCATATCCAATTGTTTCGCCTGGTGGGTTCCTAATGTGACAGCTGTTGTGTGCTTTGACTTTGACGTCCTTTCTCCGTGAAGTGTTAGGATTTCATGAAAGGTGGGTGTGTTTCTCTTTTCTATGCATTTTTAGTACAGGGCGCCATTTCTTATTTCCAATAACCACTTGCTGTCTTTTGCAGGACAAAGGTGGTGGAATTATGGATATTGTGCAGCAATGTTTTCACACAGGGGTCTGCATGTGCCTACCTGTGGTGGCCACTCAAAGCGCAGACCCTGCACACACAGGCATGCTTCTGTCTGTCCTTCCACCAAATGAAAGTTTCACCTTCACATTCACGGCCATGGATCCCGGACAACTTAACTGGCATAAGGGGAAAGCCAACCTGTGTGTGTGTCAGCTGTTGAGCATCTGAGGAATTCTTAGGCACCTGATTTATAAAACACATTTTCATTTCACCCTGCAAGCTAAGCTATCTGGATTCTTTCTGCAAATAGCGGCCCAATCGAGGTGACTCAGTCGCACTTTTTAAATTATGATTCACAGCTCGTATGGTACTGATGGAAATCGTCACAGATGCACTGAACATACCGTCTCAAAAAGTACTCAGGCGTCTATGACGTGGAGCGCATTTTCAGTTTGACCCTTTGTTGGGAACGACCAGGAAAATTAACAGCATCTCTCTCCCTTCCCTGCAAGAAAACCACCCCAGGATCGAGACAGGCAGGACTAATTGAAATATAAGAAATGTAACTTGACTAACTTGGAAGCTTATACAATGGAAAGGCAGAAACTCAATGTAGTAGTTATAAAAAAACTCCTGACTCTGCTAACATGCATGACAGCTCAAATTCAAATGACAAGAGACACTGTCGTTGTAATGACAGAAGCTGCAATAACCTCGCTGAAATGTAAATCACTATAAACTTTCCTAATCATTTCTAGAAAGGCTTTTGGTGAATTGATAGTTTGGAGAAACAGTCGCTCAGAGAAGTGCTGGCCCCCAGCCAACTGTCCTGGACACAAGAACGGGGTACGTACAGCCTCTGACTTCGTGAGGCTGAGTCTCTTGTGGGAAGACAGACATCATTACACTGATAACTGGTTTTGACTATGAGAGGTGCAGGGTGCTCCGGGAGCACAGGACAGAGGGACCTCAACCCGCCCGAGGGGCGAGGAGGAAGGTGGTGACGAAGTGAACGAGCGCGTGCTGCTGGGCGAGCCGGGGGAGTCGGGCACACACTCCAGGCAGGCGGAGAGCCTGTGGGGGCCTGGGCCTTCGAAGGAGCTTGGTTCACTCCAGAAAGAGAATGGGGGCCATCCTAAATGACGAGGGTGGCTCAGAGAGGGGCGGCGGTTGCGGGGTGGAGCGGACAGCGGTCCGAGGGCTGTCGGCAGTCACCTTGCTCTCTGGGACCTTGACCGCCGGGCCAACGTTGCCAGGCAGACACTTGGGGAGTAGGCCACAAGAGCAGTGAAAAGCCGATGGAGAGCTTTGGCTTCTTCGGGAACGGCACCTTAGAAGTAAGACTCGCCCTAAAGTGCAGGAGATGCGTTGAGTTGATGCTTTCCCAAAAGTCTGAAAAAGACAGGCCAGAGTATTTAGTTCTGATTCCCGTCTCGTCAGTCACAGGGATTTTTATTCCTCCCCCCACTTCCCCGTTTCCGTGTTTTCACCCCCCCAGAAGGACAGTGGCCTTTGTCCTCTCACAGTATGAATGGAACGGTCTCCCAGGAACCCAGAATAAAAGGCAGCTGCGATTACCAGGGTGGCTCAGGGCGGACGGGAAAATGGGAAATGCCAGCCTCCAGAACTGTGGAGCGAAACGGCAAAATAAATACCTGTTTTTCAGCTGAAGAGAAAATGAGCAGTGTCTTGGAATGTGACAGAGCATTCGTTTCTACCCCATGCAGGGAGAGGGGCAGAGGAGGGCGGGTC